AAAAGAAAAAGAAACAGGCTGAAAACCATGTACCCAGATAAACACTTTTTAATGAAGATTAGAAGATTCAAGAACAGAATACAAATTCTATGGACACTGTAGCAATCCAGCAGTCATGTACCAGTCACCAGAATGAGAGCATTTAGTGAAAATTCCACTCCTAGGATCATGAAACATCTCAATTTTTAGGTAAAGAATACTAAAGTAGTTGGAATGAAATCTTATTAATGAAAATAATTTTAAATTGCACTTTATGGTTATATTGCTAATTACAGCCTTGTCAAAGGTTTTATCTGGCAGAATCATGTTACTTTTTTTAGCCCTTAAACATGATTAATGTTAGTTATTACTTAGATGAAGCGGACAAATGTAATCTTTATAAAGTCACAGATTCAAATACATCAATGAATATAAGTAAGCTCACGGAGACTTTCACCCTCAACTGTGTTTGAAGAACAACCAGACTGCCCCTGTGGCACAGCCAGGTACCAGATTTTAGGAAGAGATTCCTTCTGGAGAGCACAGTATGTTATTATCTTGACAACAAAGTGACAGCAAAAGAACACTGGCAACCTCCCACACTGGTCCCTGTTATGCCAAGCCAGCAGCACGTGTGGGACTGAGCCAAAGCAGGGCAGGCCAAAGCAATGCCATACTCACTTGGAAGTTAGTGAGACCACGTAGGAATCTGTCCCATAGATGGTGGAAGACTTGTTGTTCTTTGTATTTGCTAAACGAACCTGAGAAAAAGAAAATGATCAGTGTTGCTTTCATCGGTAGAATGTGGATCTCCCCCAGTGTAAGTAACATTCCCAGAGGTTTCCCTGTTCACTATCAGGGAAAGAAATCACAGGAAGCTCATTGACACCCAGTATGTTACAGAAGAGGAAAAGTTGGAGTCACATTTCCACATTTCTAGAAAAGTTTGGAGAAAGATCCAAAAGATCCAGTAGAACCTCCAGGGACTAACTGTGAACCAGAAAATTCAAGTCCACAGGGTAATCCCTCTGTTGCTGTTACTGTGGCACCTAGTGATGGCTCCTACCCTTCAGCCCAGCCACTGCAGACCCCACAAGGGAAAGAAAGTCACACAAATAACAAGTTTCTCTACCTTTCCTTCAGCAAGACCAAAGACAATGATATTCTCTGCTGGCCACAATAAGCAGGTCACAGCACTCTGCAAAGGAGGAGGTAAAAAGAGAGGTAAGAGCTCCACCCTACCCAGCTTCCTGCCCCACTGCCACCTAAAACAGTTCATGAACAGACACTGTTCAGGCAAGAGAGATGGGGCATTTGGACAGGCCTTACAGTAGCTGAAGATACTGGACAAACCTTACTTCATGCTGAAGCTTAAATTAGATAAAAGTGATCTGGGGCAAAGTAATTGAGCACAGGAGGACTATAGGAGGGCAAAAAAGTTACAGGGATGTGTTCAGTTTGGAGCTCTTTTGTGAGTATTACTTACTGAGCAGTGCTTGGCTTGCCACATGCTATTAGTGAATGTATAAAATCATGGCTCTTTTGAAAGATTTTTTGAAACATGTATAAAATACAAAAATAATTTCACTGTGACAACTTCTGCAATAGCTATGAGAATACTCATGCATTGGATCTTTATTTGATTAATAAGAAATAGTGTTTATTTTTTCATTGACAAGTAAGAGGGTTATTAGATGCTACCAAGTAGGTCAGGTAGAAATAGGCTCGTTAAATCCAAACCAAAGGTATTGTCAAAATCTGAGGTGGAGTCAGGATGAATAAAGCTAACCATAAAACCCAGCTGTAAGAGAAGGCCAAGAAAGTTTATGAAAGTCCTTCACATCCACCCTGCAGAACTTCAGTCAGCAAGAAGGCTGGTGTTTGGCACTGTGCCACCAGCAACAGCCTCACTGGCTCTCTGTCCCATTTTAAGCGTGCGGGACTGCTTAAGATACATATCAGCATTTATTCATTCCTCATTTATTTATCTCATCTTCCATCCCTGCTCTGATCATTTCTATCAGTAAACACAGCTACAATCAGACAACAAAATGTCTCAAGGTAACTAAACTGTTCAAAATTTAAATGCCCAACCAATGACCAAGACCCATTTTCATTACCCCTGTTTCCCAGGAATTTGTGTGTTTCCCTCATTATCTGTCAGACTCATTTTCCACTCTAATACAACAAAAGTTTGGGAACAAGCCTCACACAGTGGTGATGTGCTCATTGTTTGTCCTCCTGGCCCTCAGCAGGAGGCTTGGCTTGCCAGTGTGATCACAAACTGGGATCACTGTGTGTGAGAGAGAGCCCAGTGGTAGGAGAGGGAAAGGGCTCAATAAATGATCTGTCATATTGACTGAACATTTCAAAAATTTAGTTACAGGAGAAGTATTACAGTGTAACAGTATTTAGTTACAGGAGAAAGCCAGACACAGTGGCAAACCCCAGACATAGAGCATCAGAAAAAAAAGGATTTTATGTGTTACAAGTGGTAGAAAAGGCATGGGGAAATGAGAAATGAGAGTAAAAAATACTGAATTTCTACATTAAAAATACAAAATCCTGTACATGTGCCATGCACAGCATCTGAGCTTGTGAGAGGCCAGCAGGCCCCCACTGGGCTGGCAGCTGGAGGGGCAAAGCAAGCAGTACACAAGGACAGAACTCTGCAGGGAGGCTAAATGTGCCCACACCTGGGACAGCCACCCTGTTCAGGAAACGCACAAATGGACACCAAGCCCCTGCTGCTCTCTTTTCTTCATGACACTCTATTCTCACGACCACTCAGTGCAGCAGCTCAACTGCAGACAGACCAGAGGCTGACCAGCAGCTTTCCTGTCACAGAAACACAGAACTCCCTGGGCTCCCTGCAGCAGTCCGAGCAGCCACAGTGGCAGGCCATGACCCAACCCTAACACAAAAGCTTTCAACCCAAAGGCTGAGGCTAACCCTTCACCTGAGAGACAGCTTGAGAAAGCCTGGCACAGACTCCAGCAACTCCATCAGGAGCAGCTCTGTCTACGTCTTCTGAGGATTTGGACATGAAGGATGATTCCTCCTACCCTGCAGGGAACTTTCTTGGTGACACAGAGACTATGGGGTGATGGCACTTGCCTGGAAAGCCTGGGGCACCTGCTAGACTTTTGCTTCTGAAGGAACAAGTAGTCAGTACACTGTATTTTCTCACTCTGATGGCTTTCTGTGCAAGGAATTCATAACACCTTTGCCTTTTCCAGGCAGATCTCAGGGCACGCTTGGCAAACACCTACTGGGCAGACTGCTCTCTGACACAGGCAGGCTGAGCCAGAGCAGCAGAACACAGAGGTGGCCAAGGAGTAAACCTGACAGAAATCACAAATCTGAAGCAACTGAGCATGTGGAAATTGCACAGTTTGAATTCTGCACACTTTTGTTTAAGAAGGCATCTTGGAGTTTAGAGCTGCAAATGTGTGAAAAATAGTTGGGCTTTGAGTGTTGCACATTTTCCCCTTTCAACTCCCTTAAAACAGTCTGTCTACTGATCCCTAAAGTAGTCCCCAAAGTTTTGTAACTGACTGCATTGATTGTTCAACAATTTACTTGGTTGCACCCAGGCATTAGGACACCTCTGAAGCTTAATGAGCAATACATGCCTCAGAATTTAGAGATTCTCTTAGGATCTTTAAAGGTCAAATACAGTTTGGCCAAGTACACCTGTGAGTATGAGCAGAGAGACTTCTCATTGTCTTTTCCTACATATGCTGGAGAAAATTAAGTCAAACAGAAGTCTGGGTCTCACCGTTTGGATGAACTTGTTGCATATCACCTTCTTGTCACCCCTGCAGAAAAATATGAACAAAAATGACTGTCAGCAACCTTACACATTCTGATCACCCTACTGTTTATGTACGGTCTACTTTGATATTGCCAAACACAGTTCACTGAAGTTTTGCGTGCTGCTAGTCTATCACAACTTTAGGCAAAAAACCAAAAAGACCCCTCAAGTCTGAGCTTCCAAACTCCTGGTGAACTGCTTTTCTGAGTACCGTTAGCACAACTCCTGCCAGCAAATGAGGCTGCAGTGGGGCAGATGTGTGCCATTGCTGCACAGCTGTGACACATGATGGCAACACAGGCTCCAGCTAGCTGCAGGGCTCTGTAAGGGCCCTGCTGAGGAAACCTCACCTGCTGCTCCCTTCGGGCACCTGTGTGGCTCCCTGTGGGCCAGGAGATGGGCACTGCAGTGTGTGCCAGGGTGAGGATCCCTAAGGGAGCCCATGGCAGGGCAGAATGGAGCATGCTGGACCTCACCGCACACTCACCACTCCTCGCCGATCCTGTACACGTAGACAACGTTGTCCGTCTGCCCGATGGCCAGTTTAGTGGAGTCTGGCGAGAAGGCCATGCCTTTGACCACGTAGCTCTTCCTGCCGTACTGCGGAGAGGATCGGTGTGACCGTGGGAAGGCCGGCTGCCCCAGCGCTGCCGGCCCACGCCGCGCCGGGGCCCGGCCCCGCTCACCTTGGCGTCTGCCGGCTTGGTGGAGAACTTGTCGCGCCGCTCGCCCTGCTCGTCGTAGAGCAGCACCACGCGCTCCGCCGTGCACACGGCGAAGCGGGCACTGCTGGCGGACCAGGCCATGCAGGTCACCCGCGCCGTCCCGTCCTGCGGGCACACACGGCTCAGCAGACACACTACGGCCTCAGCGGGGCCGCTAGCGCCCCAGACCGACCAGGGCCGCTCTCCCCGACTCGGCCTGTCCCGGCCCGCTCCCCCGCGGCCCGATCCCCCCCAGCCCGGCCCGGTCCGACCTGCGGGGCCAGCAGGGTCCGCACGTGCCGCAGCTGCATCGCGCCCTCCGCTGGGCCCGGGCCCGAGATGGTCCCACGGGTCGGGATGGTCCCACGGGACCGCTCCGCCGCCGCCGCCGCCGCCGAGCTCGCCTCGCCCCGCCCCCGCTGCCGTGGCAACCCCGCCGCCTCCGCCGCGCTGACGCGAGCGCGTCGAGCCCGCGGGGACCGACCCCCCGCACACCGGCAGAGATCGGCTCGGCTCGATCCCGGCTCCGCTATGGAGGCGCTGCGGGCGGCGGGGCGTGCCGTGCTGCGGAGCCCGCGCCTCGCCCGGCACGGTCTGGGTCTCCGCCGGCGGCGCAGTGAGTGCGGACGAGTGCGGGGTCGGGGCCGGGCATCGCTCCGGGCGAGGAGCCCGCAGCTCGGCGCAGTCGGGCTGGGAATACGGCAGGGCAGTCTGAGGGGCCTGGAGAACTGAGCGGCCGTGGGGGTAGTCGGGTTAGGGGAGGCGAGGGGATCGGGCCGCGGGGGCCGAGGCACCGTAGCGCTGCAGCTTCTCGCCGAGCCCTCCCTGTCCCGCTGCCGGGGCTGTCGCCTCCTGCCCCACTTGTAAATCGAGGCCGCCCGCGCCGGGGGGCTGACGGGCCTGGGCGGCCGTGCCAGGCGCTGGAACACGCTGGACTGCAGCGGGGACCTCCCCGGCCTCCGCGGGCCTCGGGCCCCTCGGGCTGCCACTCCTGGTCCTCTGCGAGTGTGCCAGGCCAGCCCCTGCTGTCCGCGGCCCAGCAGGATCCGAGACCGACCCATGACACATCCCTGGACGTGTTCAAGGCTGGGTTGGACGGGACTTGGAGCAGCCTGGTCTAGTGGAAGGTGTCCTGCCTGTGGGAGTAAAACTGGATGAGCTTTAAGGTCCCTTCCCACCCAAATGGGTCCGTGATTCCATGACCCTGCAGGTGCCCTGTGGCACAGGAGGGCCACGTTTGGCTGTTCTCAGTCAGCTGCACAAGGCTTTGCTGGAGCACCCACACTTGCCCTGGCAGCCCTGGTATACATGGACTGTCCTCAGAGTTTGGGGTGACACAGGGTTCTACTGCCCGGGGTGGAGGTCACTGGTGCCTGCATGGCACCAGGCAGCCTCCCTGATAGTTGTCACTTGGAAGAGTATGCTGTGCAAATAAGGTCTCCTGATTTCCCTGTGGGTTCAGATTATTCCAATTATGAGATGGACCCTTCTGCAAGTGTGCCAGTAATGCTCAGGGAGCAAATCCCAGGGAAGAGGTGAAAATAACCCTGAAAAGTATTAGCTTAGTGTGAACAGTACATAGCTTGGCAATTCCCATCTCTTTCTTAACAAAGCATCTGTAGTGCAGTTGCTTCTCAGTCATCCCAGCTGGGACCACAAATGCTGACTAAGCTGCCCCTGCCCTGGCACCCTGCTGCTGCAGGTGAGATGCCAAGGGGTTTGGATTTGCTTACACTGGGCCAGTCTGGGGATTTTGATCTGAGCATGGCAGTGAATGCTCTTCAGGTGTGCCAGCAACTCAGGTGGCTGAGATGAATGCACTACAGAGAACATTTTGTTTGTAATGAAACAGAAGAGACCCAGGAACACAAGGTTTTTGCAGACAGCAATGAGGGCTGCAGCATCCTCAGCACTGTGCAGATATGCAGGAACTGTCTCTCAGTGCTGACAGAGCTTGGACTTCCAGGGCTAGAGGACTAAAGCTCCAAGGGTGAACTGCCCACTCCTTCTGTTCCTCTTATGAGAGTGTCACAGAGCCAGGAGAGTGTCCTGCTGGAGGCAGGAAGCAGCACTGCTGCTGGGAGCCATGGGTGGGGGGGTGGCTCTGGCAGTACTAGCTGTGGGGCTGCTGGCACATGGCTTCTAAGGGCTTTTGTCTTTGCAGAGCTGCCTGAGAGCTGGGCCGATATGCAGGAGCCACTGCTTGAGGGGATGTGCTTCACCCTCAAGTATCTGGGCATGACACTGGTAGAAAAACCAAAAGGAGAAGACATGGCTGCTGCTGCCATCCGCAGGATCGTGGCCACGGTGAGACTCGGTCCTGGGGCCCTGGTGTGCGGGGTCAAGGCCCAGCTCCTACACTCCCTGCACAGGGAAGTGTCTGTGTCCTAGCCCTGAGCTCCAGTCAGGGACTGTGCCCTTCCCAAGAGGAGGGTGGCATGCAGGAGGCTACTGGTGTCTGCCTGTGTGCTGTGGGGAAGCTGTCTTCTTGCTGGATAGCCCCAGCCACCTGCTCCTACGCCTGAACCTGGCTGGGAGCAGAGCTGTGCCTGCCACAGCATGGAGAGAAGGGTGAAGTACTGGGAGAAGTGGGGTCTGTGCTTTCCTGTGTGTGTGGCAGGAGAGTGAACAGATTTGAAGTGTTCTGTGCAGGGCATGCCTTATTGCCAGACTCTGCTATCCCCTCCCTACAGCAGGAGCCTTTGCAGAAAGTATCCAAGTGAGTGATACTGTACAGAGTCTGTGGGGCTCCTTCCAGCAAGGGGGTGAGGTGAAGACCCTTGCCAGGTTTGCAGAGATTGCTGGTGTTTTTCCACTGCCAGGCACGGGTTGGAGCTCGCAAGTTTCAGAAGGTGATTCTGACAGTGTCTCCAAGGGGCATCTCACTGCAGGATGCAGACACTAAGGAGATGGTGGAAAACATCTCCATCTACAGGTGGGCATGTCACGGGTATGGGCTGGGTGTTCCCCAGCAGCCAGCTGAAGACTAATGGGAATTTGAGCAGCCAGGGAGGGCTGGGCCTTCTGTCAGCAGTACCTTCAAACTTAGGTCTTTCCTTGGCTCACTGAGGCCTGTGCCCTCTCTCTGCTGTGCTCCCAGCACTGCCTGAGGCTGAGTGTAGGCAGGGTCCTGGGTGGTCTTGAGTTCATCAGCCCATCCATCATCTCCTTGTGCCCTGCCTCTCTGTTCTGCAGGATTTTGAGGCTTGTGATTGGAAAGCCTCACAGTTAAGACAGGACTGCATGTCTGTCTCCACTGCCATGGGACCACCCTTCTGGCTGCAGCTTCTTGGGCAGGCTAAAGGCAGTTGCTGTGAGAACTGATGTTCATTTCTCCTGCTGCCACTTGTCCTTTGGCTGGGTTGGGTGTCTGGGTGCTGGGTGTGAGGGGCAGTAAATGTGCAGTCTGGTGGCTAGATGGGAAGCAGAGACAAGACATCTCTTTGCTGCAAAATGTAGGTCTTGGCGCCAGAGCTGATGTGCCAGGTCAGACCATCCTTCTGCTGGCCTCCAGCTGTGTCCTTGGAGGCAATCACCCACCCTTCTGTGCTCCTCTTGTCCCAATGCTTGAATTCACACATAGGGTTGAGCTGGCCATCAGAAAACTACAGGGCACTCTGGGATGGCACAGGAGGGAGTGCCTGTGGATGCAGTGATCTCTTAACCTGCCGCAGGTACCAGGCAGCCTCTGGTCCTTGCTGGGGGTTTGGGCTGCCTGGTCATCTCGGGCAGGTGAAAGCCTCAGGTTGTCAGCAGTGCTTGCTGATATGCTGGGAGTGCAGCAGAAGTGCCATGCCAGGGGTCCTGGATTGTCCTGACAGCTCCTCTCTGCCCACAGGATCTCCTACTGCACGACAGACAAGCTGCAAAACAAAGTCTTTGCTTACGTTGCCCAGAGCCAGGAGAGCGGGGCACTGGAGTGCCATGCCTTCCTCTCACCCAAGAAGAAGATTGTAAGCACTTACCTTCTGCTCTTGGCTCTGTGAGGTGTGGGTGGGAGCAAGGGCCTGCTTTCTTCCCCTTCAGTGAGAGAAGGGGACCTGTTACCTGTGCGAGCCTCAGCTGGATTTGGAGCCAGGGAGGAGGTGTGCTCATGTGCTGCACAGGCAGGGAGTGAGTAAAGGGGGGTTTCCTGTCCCAGCTCCTGAGGGTCTGCTCTTGGGGGTGGCTCAAGAGCACCCCCAAGGGCTGACAGACACAAAACTGAGCTCTGGCCTTTCATCTGTATGTTCTGCAGAGAAAGGCAGCATGGGATTCTGGGGGGTCTTGGATTTCATGGCAGTAGGTTATCCTGCATTGAGGGCCCAGGTGGAAGCAGGCATTCCCTCTCTTTCATGTACACAGGCCCAGGCTGTGACTCTGACTGTGGCTCAGGCCTTTCAGATGGCACTGGATCTCTGGGAAGCGGCACATGCAGGTAGGAGGGATTTCTCAGATGTATCTCACTGCATAGTTCTGGAATCAGTGTCTCTCTGGTGAAACACACCAGGCAGGGAGAATGTTTTGTCCCTATAGTTGTGTTTCTCTGCCACTCCCCCGTCTTCAGCTGGGGTGGGAGATGTAGCTGCTCTCTATGCTGAACTGCTGTGCATTGCCTGAGCTGTAGCCCAGCTCAGGGCTGGTGGTACTTGGCCTGAGCAGTGACCCCTCACATTTGTTTGCACCCTCCTGCCAGCACAGCAGGGATTCCCTGTTCCTCACCCACAGTTTTGCCTGTACATTCCCAGCTGGGCTTTCTGCAGGTTGCAGACACTAACGCTGCTGCTTTTGCCCTGTCCCAGGCTCTAGGCAGGATCAGCCCCTTCACCCTTCATGTGTCTTGGAGAGCAGTGAGGCCGCCAGCCCCCGTGAGCCAGCCCCCCCAGGGAGCGCTCCCTTCACACACCACTTTGGGGTACAGTATGTGCAAGTCAGGCCCATGCTGAGGGCTGTCTGGAATTAGGGCAGGGACAGAGTGACCCCTCTGCAGCTCCTTGCTCCTGCCCTCCCAGAACCCTGCTGATACCTGCACAGCCCCCATTGCACATGGCAGCCTGATGTGAGGAGGTGCATTGTGATGCGTGGCTCACACAGCAGGTGCAGTTCCTTGGTGTCTGTGCTCCAGGAGCTCTGCTGCAGACCCAGCACTGCTGCAGCCTCAGCCCTGCTCTGCTGGCCCTGTCACACAGGGACCTGGGCTGCACACCTGGTTTCATGGCTGGGGTGAGAGCTGCCTCTAAAGGAGAGGACCCTTGGATCATCATCGTGCCAGCCTGGGCTAAGGTTCAGCCCAGCCCATCTGCAGTGCACCTCCTGCATGGCCACAGCAATTGGAGCATTGTCATATTGGTCTCACTATGTCCCTGTCTAGGAACTTCTGGATGCTTGGTCATTGGCCTCATGCTTCCAGTGTGAGTCCAGCCTGGCAGTGCTTGGGATTGTACCTGTGTGCAGCCTGCTCCTAGTAGTCTCTGCCTACCTCTCCAGCTGCAGGGTGTGCTCACCCACCACTGTCCCTGGGCAGAGGTGCACTGTGTCAGCAGCTCTGTCAGCATGGTCCATGCTCACAGCTTGTGTTTGGGACTTTGCACCTGGAAGGGATGTGGGACGAGCTATGGCCTGTCTGTCCTTGTGTGCCCAAGCCCAGAGGGTTCTGGCAACCCAGCACTCCAATCTTTCCCCCACTGCTTGTGGGAAACCTTTGTACTGTGCCTGGGTAGTGAGTGTCTTGTGAAGGGGCTGGACGGGGTCTGAGCAGCCCAGCCTCACTCCTGGCAGAGACCTGCCCATGCAATGAGATATCATGGTGGGGTTTTGTTTGTTTGCTTGCCAGGAGGAAGAGGAGGAGGAGGAGGAAGATGATAATGTCAGTGAAACCTTGTCTGGGTAGGTGGTGAGCTGCTGCTTGTATTCATGGATCTCTCTGATGAAGCCTGTCTTGTGTCCTTCTCTGTCTTGTCTCCTTCCCCTGCAAGGGGAGCTGCTTAGGCCATGGGCATGGTGGGATCATGGAGGAGAACTGCATGGAACCAAGGGGGAAGCTTCCTGTATTTCTCTGCTTCTATCCGCTGAAAACTCGAGTTGAGTGGTGGAGGAACAGACCATGCAGTCCAGCTTTTGCAGCAGAGAATTGGGGTACAGATACTGACCCCCAGGATGCACCCAGAGATATTTCTTACTCTGTTTCTGCCAGTCTTTGCTGGGGCCAGCCTGTCCAGACATGTCTCTGGGACTCAGTTGTCCCTCTTTTCCCACCGATTTCCCTGGAGGTTGGACCAGGATGGAGGCCTGGTCATGCTGACTTCTGTGTGGACTGGGGCTGTGGGCTGAGCTTGATGGTGTGTCCTGTGTTGGGGAGGAGCTGACGGAACGTCCAGCAGCAGAGGATTAACCTGCAGGTCTGCAGAAGTGCAGGTGGTGGGCCTGTGAGGCCCGTTCCATCATGGCTGTTCCATGTACATGGCAGTGGGCACCCAGCTGGGTCTGGCAGGTCTGAGCTTGGCTTGAGCCGGAGCCAATGTGTGCACAGGTTGGAGCTGTATGTGTAGCCCAGTGAAACACCACCCCTTTGGACATGGAGCTCCTGATGGGAAGGAGATACAGCTTTGCAATCTTGGGACAGGCTGGCCTGGGAGGAGTTTGGTAGCAGCGGGGCTTAGAGCCTTCTGCACCCCCATTGCCTGCTGCTGCTGTGCCATTCCCGCCGTGCCAGGGTCATGAGCATGCCGTGTCTCTCAGGAGGCCATGCTTGGGGTATGATGGATGCTGTGTTCTCTTCCAAAGCAGCATGGAGGAGCTGGGGAGGGGACTCCACAGCCCAGCAGGTAAGTTTCTTCAGTACTGCATTGGCTCATCCCCCAACATGTCCTCTGTAAGGCAAGGCGTGGGCTGATGCTCACCTGGGAACATCTGCTTCCCTTTGCCGGCTGTGCTGGGCTCCCAGCTGTACACCTTATGGTCCATATCTTCCTTTCTCTCCCTTTTCAGAATTAATACCTCTTGTGCCCCCATCGAGCTCTCCTTCAGCACAGCTACTGTGCTACCGCCTGGGGCCACCCCCGGACAGCTGGACGGTGCTGGGAGGGGCTGCAGACTCCCCCAGCACTGGCACCAGGACTGCTGGCCCCAAGACTCCCCTGGGCTAAGCCAAATCTCTGCAACAACGGACCAGCCACTCAGGATTCACCCTGTGCCTGCACCTGGGCCAGCCAGTGCCTGCCGCTGCCCTGGCACTGCCCTGCTGGCACGGGGGCTGCTGGCACTGCTGCCATGGAGTGCACAGGCTGCAGCACCTGCTCCTTGCCATGTGCCGCCTGCATGAACCGCCTCGAGCTGCAGCTGCTCCTCGCTCTGCTCACTGCCAGGCCATGCAGGGCCACCCTGCGTGCTCTGAGCCTGCCTCATGCAGGCAGCGTACACCCTCAGGGAGCAACAGCTCTTGGCCTGGAGCAGTGCGTGATGAAGGCCTTTCCCCTGCAGTTCAGCCCCACACCCTCTCACAAGTGAAATGACCTGGTTTTTAAAGGAAAGCTCTGCCTTCAGAGAGAAATAAATTGAGTTTTTTATTATTGTGATTTGGGTTTGAGTGCTGAATGGGCACCGTGCATAAACATGCATGCAACAGTGTCTTCTGCACTGCCTGTGGTGAGGGTTGCTGTGCCCCGTGCTCATGGAGCCTGGAACTGCCACATCTTCCTTGGCTGCGAGCCCTGAGGGAGCAGTTCCTCCTTGTGCTGAGGGCTGCCAAGGCCCAGGGTGCCTTTGTGGCTTGGGAAGAGCAGGCTGAGGCTGTGCTGTACTGGTGTCTTGAGCACCTAGGAATGTCACCTGCACTGATAGGAGTTGATGCTGACCACGCTGAGGTCAGGGCAAGCACAAGCCCTTGTGTGCCAGCTGAAGTGTCTCTGCCCTGCTGCACCCCAGCTGTACTCTACAGAGGCAAGCCATGCACTTGGTTTCCTTTCCAGATGGAGCAGGGGAGGCTGCAGCATGTCTGGTTTATCTGGCAAGTGACAGCTTGCAGCTGTGTTCTGGCCAAGCCCCTCGCTGCTAGGTTCCTGTCACATCTCCGCACAGCTGCCCTTCTCACGCTGGTGGCACTGAGAGCCCAGCTCAGCCCAGCTGAGCACCGATGGCTGGCTGCAGCTGGGGTGGCAGGGCCAGTCTCCCAGCAGTGCCATAGGCACTGGGGAGGCCTGGGGTGCCATGGATCTCTCAGGAGCTGTGCATGGCTTTTTTCACTCGAGGTTTTGCATATTAAATGTGGTTTCATGCCTCTTTTCCCTTAGCTGGGAGTAAAGAGTAACATGTAACTTGTTAGGGTGAGCAGGTCATTGTCACGCCCTCAGCTTCCAGCACTCCTCTCTGCACTTCCCTGCCCTCCTGCAGTCGTGGTCTGAGAAGAAGTGGTGACTTGGGGTTTGGTTTGGGTTTGGTTTTTTTTTTTCTTTTTCAGCAGAGGGAAAGAGCTTTTTCCTCAACAACACACCCATATTTTACATTTAATGTCAGACTTGTGTTCCTTTTTTTATTTAGTCAAAACCTCTGCATTTTGACCTTTTTCTTGTGCCTGCCCTAGTTCCTCACCTCTGCTACACAGTCTGATCCTTTGTGGTTTTTTGTGTGTGTCTCTGGCCTAGCTAAAAATCTCACGATAGCAGGCATGTCTGCTATGACTTTCCAAGACAGAACTTGTAAACATTTTCCAGGGCACTAGAACGTTCTTAAAACTCTCGTATTTCCCTGACAGCCCTAGTTTTTCTAATGTACCTCCTTAAAAAGAGCTAGCAGGCAAAACAAGGTGTTAGTGTCTCTAGAGCTGTGGCCATGCTCCCGGCATGATCGCAGCCCAGCAGCAGCTGCATCCCACCGCCGTGGTACTGTTGCTCCTCAGGTGCCCCTCTCCACAACTGAGCAGGGAGCAGCCCAGGCCCCTCTGGCCAGCAGCCTGTCGGGGTCAGACCCTGTCCCCCGTCTCGGCCCTGCTGCTGGGATGTGCCTGCTCTCTGCAGACAAGCAGCCACGATGTCACCCTCAGTGGGACAGCCTGCAGCTGCTCCAGCAGCACCACAGGGCCCAGCCTGCAGCAGCAGCTGCTCTCCCTCGAGGGCCAGGGGGGTTCGAGGTGACCACAGAGGACCTTCAGCTCTTGCACAGCATGGAGGAACAGATCTCCTATGGCCAGGACACGTGCATTCGAGAACTTGTACATGCATGCATGCATGGACACACACAGAGACCTGAAGCTCTGATGCTGCCTTTGAGCCAGGATGCTTTTATTGAAAAGACCCTGCCACAGGAGTTGCTTATCATGTCCCTTCCCCGCCTAGTCCTGCAGCAGGAGCTGAGCAGCACCTGGAAGGAAAAGTCCTGAAAGTGCTTTTACTGGGAGATTTATTCCTGGAAGACACTGGATCCTGTGATGCTTGAGTCCAGGGCTGCAGAGCCTGTCTGTGGCAGGCTGCAGAGCAGAGCGTGGAGGGAGAGCAGCAGCCAGGGCAGCAGGGAGCCTCCTTGTTTCACCCCATTCCCTCCAAATGAGACCCGGCAGGCCTCACCACATTGTCTCCTCCAGGCAGCACAGGCTGCTCAGAAAGTTCATGGCAGCTCCCCTCAAACAGCCTGAATGTGCCAGCCCTGAGCCCTTCTGGGGACACAGCGCAGCCACAGCCATGCCCTGACGCTGCCCACTCCCCCAGCCCTGCAGGGCTTCCACCAGCACTCCCTGCCCCGCTGCAGGCTCCGTGGGCTGGCCAGGCACTGTGACAGCACTAGCTCCTCATCGTCCCTCTTGTCCTCATCCTCTGCGGTAGACAGAGAATGTGAAGGCCCTGCACAGCCATGAGAGGGTACAGTGGAGCCCTGTTCTCCAGCAGCAATCCACTCATCCTGGTGCTGGCTGGGCCCACAGACAAACCCTCCTACAGGCCACAGCTCTGCTGGCCGTGCTGGGGCAGTGCCTGCACTGCCCTGCTCCTGCAGCCCCGGGGCCCTGAGGGGAGCAGCTCCTGCTCTCTGCAAGCAGCCCCAGGGCCAAACGGGCAGCTGAGAACAAGGTCTACCCCTGATGCCGGGCAGGCATCCAGTGCCTCAGCTGCACCCCGGGCCTTGGCCAAGGCAGCGCCCAGGGACACGGGCTCCCCTCAGGCAGTGCCTCAGCCCATCGGCTCCCCTTGGCTCCCTCCCACCCTAGCCGCTGGTGTGGCCCCCCACCCATCCTCAAGGTGATGCTTCTCCCGGGAGGGGAGGAGGGCCGGGTGTGGGACGGGCAGGGCCACGCTCGGCATGCATGGCTGGGGAGCTGGCTCCGTGCACATCCGCAGACAGGTGCCCTCAGGAAAGCGGGAGTTCTGGTACGTGGATCGTCGCATGCTGATTTCCAGGCGGCACGCCTGGTGCTGCCTCTTCTTCCAAGGCCTGCTGTGGCTCTGGCAGGACACCCAAGATCCCAGACGGCAGAGCTGGTGTTGCACTTACACCTCAATGATATTGACCGAGGGAGATTTCTTCTATGAGAGAAAAATCTGCTTTAAGACCCTGCCCTGGGATCAGACCTGATTTCAGAGCCCCACAGCCTGCAGCAGGCATCAAGACCAGCAGACCTCAGCAGAGCAGGGGAGGGAGTAGGGATCCAACTCCAACTCCAGCTCCAGCTTGGAGGAGGGATCCAAGAGGAGTGATCTCCTGGCAAGGGGTAATCAGCAAGCTGAAAAATCTGGAGGAAGGGAACTGGGGACTTGAAGTCCAAACAAGAAGTTTCTGCTCCTGATATCTGCTGGAAACCAAGATGTGGAATCAGTGGGACAGTCAGCCAACACAGTGAGGGGAGTTCCCACCCTTGACAGAGGCAGCAGATGAAACACAAGCAAAACCCTAACTATGGTCCCATTAGAGCACTGGGGCTATAAATCACTGTCCTTGGCAGGTAACAAAGGGAGGAATGTCAGGTGCTGAGGGAACAGCCAGATGAAGGTACTGCTCCCTCCCCATCCACAGCCTGGCACATCACTTCCATCAGGGTGAGGAAGGGACTCCGCAATGACTCGTGTGGTGATGACCCAGAGCCAGCTGCAGTGAAGGCAGAAAAGGAGCAGTTACAGACCAGTGCAGAAACCATGAGAATAGCTGCCTAGCATGTCCATTTGTCCATCTGTGCAGGAGAGGTGCAGCATTGGAGGGGCATGATGAAGGCTCTGTTACAGTCAGAGGTCAGGTACCACCCCACAGGGCAAGAGCTATCCCAGCTGTTACATCTTGTCGTCTCTTCCAATGTTTCTCCTGCAATCACCCATGAGGTACACACAGTGCCCCAGAGACGTGGTCTCACTGAACCCTAAAAGTCCTCAGTCTTTGGGGTGAGAGCACAAGCCAGGGTGTTTCCATTTCTGGAGAGAGCCAGACTCTCTGCAGGCTGCAAGCCCCAGCAGACACCACGTGCCAGCCCTGCTGCCAGCCCTCCCCACTCACCTTGCTCCGCAGCAGCCCTCCGCTCGGTCGCTCTGGCGTGCTGTGCTCTGAGGAGGGCTTTGTCTTCTCCTTGTTGTTGTTGGAGTCATTATCCTTGATGATATCGTATTGTCTGCAGAACAGGGCGATCACCGCTGCCCAAAGACACACTGGATGAAGGACTCCTTCAGAGTGGCTGCCTGTCTGCCCTGCCCACAGCATCCCAGCTGTACGGCAGTTGTGCCCAGGGCTCCTTGGGGTGCTGCCAACCCGCACCCCCACCTGCATCAGCCTGCACCACCCTGGTACCTCCGCATGTGCGGCCAGGCCAGTTTCCTTGGGCAGACGGGCACGGATGTGGCTAAGGCCATCGGGCCACACATGAGGTGCTCAGCACTCACCAAAGGCAGGTGCTGAGGCACTCAAACAGGGACAGTGAGGTCAGTGGGCAGCTGTGTGGCTTTTGAAGTGCCTCCAGCAAGGTATTAAAGTTATGAGCTGGTGCTTGTGACCCTCACAAAAGCCAGCCTTTGTCCGTGCAAATTGTCTGTGGGGTCAGTCCCTCTGTAATGCTTTCACAGCATGCATCCCATGCAGCATGTCCCACACCTGGGAACCCTGGACACAGGAGTCTGAAGCAATGCCCCCAGAGGTGACCATGCTGGACTCACTCAACCCCCAGTGTGTACGTGATAACACACAGGCACACACAGACCGGGCCTGATTCCTCCCAGCTGGCATCCTGACACATCAACCTGTGCCAGGTGTAAACTACCAGCAGTCATCTTGTATTTTTTTTCCAGTGCCCTAGGAAAGTGTCAAGGCCAGGGCAAGGAGAAATTTATGCAAGATGCCACTACAAAATCCACGTTTACTGGGAAGGGAACAGGGGATCAATGACTTCCCATTCACTGCAGCTGTATGTGACCAGTCAGGAGCTGACGTACATTTTAGGGCTCCCATGCTCCCAGGGCAGCCTGCTGCCTGCACTGGCTTTCATTGTGCTATACAGGAGCAAACCACACACTTTGCAGCTTTAGCAGACTGAGGTACAGCCTCTACCAGCTAGTGCAGTAGTGTTATCAGTCACAACATCTAAGGCCCAAGCAACTCAATCATCACTGTCAGTTAGGATGCTCCCACCCTGTAATTCCAGGTCCCATTCTGTCTCCTGCTCTTCAACGTACTCCAGGCTGTTACTGCTGAGCAGTGGCTGTGGTTGCTCCTTTTACCCCACTGGCTTCAGCACCTAAAGAGACTCAAGGGACTGATGAGGAAGGGTACCAGACCCTCAGCAATGTGCCTCTGCACTCTTGAGCCACATCCTCTTCGTGAACCATGGATTGTGCCTTTGTCTCAGCCTGCCAGAACACGGCTTGTGGCACTTACCTGCCCACATAAGCAGCACAGCCACAATGATAATAATCTCGCCTGTCTGCAGCTGCCGATCTTTGTCCAGCCCTTCCATGGTGATGTCACCTGCAGAGAAGAGACCCCAAGCAGGGCTGGCAGCAGACACCCTCACACTACAGCAACACTGGAGGATTTGAGAAACCCCAAAGCAGAGAAGCCCACCTCCCCCAAACAAGGAAGGGTGTGGGATGAAATCCTGTCTGGGGAGAGGACATGCATCCTGCGGCCTTCCTGTGTCAGGTAAACCATCCTTACTACAAAATTAGTCAGGGATTCCAAGGGCTTGTTTAGGTTCATGTAGGGACTGCACAATGCATGCCAGTAATCACTAAGGTCTCTCTCTACACAGCAACCAGGGCAGGTCACATCAGTTTAAACAGAAGTTCAGAGGACAGGCAGCCATTTGCTTACCCTGCCATACTCAGACCCCTCTCATGGTTAATGCTGAACGTAGACTGACGTGCCCCCTATGGGGCATCATCTCTCTTGGATTCCTGATTCTGTCTCATGGACCAGCATGTAGCCAAGGCCAAGGCAACACAGACATGAGTAGTAAAGGAGACCACAGCGCTGGGTCATGTGTCCTTGGGTAGCCCGCAGACTGGGAGATCTGAGTGTCTGTTCAGTACTGGCCTCCTACAGGCAGCAGCTGGCCAGGCCTCAGCAGCTGTCCTGGCCAGTCTGCCTAGCTGAATAGGTGCCAAGATCTGAGATAGGAGGGCTGCAAACCACAGCTTGGGGACATTATTGTGGACACATAGTGGACACAACAGCAGCCTGTACAACTCTGCATGTCCCCAGCAGCCTGCTGCTCAGTGCAGCACCTTCCTCACTGGTTGTGGAATCCCTGGCCATCTGCTGTACAAGCCTCCAGGTGTGGCCCCACCAGCAGCACCTGGTCAAGCTGGAAGGAGGTGCCTCACCTTGGTTGGAGCTGTTGGAAGGCAGGCGGTCGGTCTCCTTCAGGGTGCGGAAGTGGACACGCTTGCTAGCCTGGCTCTCCCCATACAGGCCAATGCTCTGCACCTGGATGATGTAGTCAGCATCCTCTGCCAGGTCCCACAGCACACAGGCACGGTTGGTGGTGTTCACCTCCCGGATGAAGCGCTGCATCTGCCCGTCCTGCCTCTGCCAGAGGGAAGAGCTGTCACCCCCAGGAGGCTGCTGCCAGCTGCACCAGGCACAGGCACCCAGCTGCAGGGCTCTGCCCTCACTCCTCCCTTCCCAGACAACTATCCACCCCAGGGTGGGCCAGACTGGCCAGCACTGCCTATTCAGCATGCTTGCATGGCCTGAGAGCCAGGCACCTCCCTGGAGAAGCCACCATCACCCAGGGCTGCATAGGTGGAGCAAGGCAAGCAAAGAGTTATGTCATGGCTGAAGCACCATTCTTACCTAGAGAAATCCCAGGGAAACCATTGGAGGGACTATACCCAATGCAGCCCACAGTCTTTTGCCTCCCACCAGGACAGATGGCTCACATGGGTCACCCTGGCAAGGGCTGCTCAGCAGCAGAGATGTCCTCAGGCAGATGCCAGAGGAGCCCCGGAGTGCGTCACAAGGACTGACATAGGAGCACGCTGGTAATCAGTGTCCCCAGTCCCCTGGGGACAGATGCTGGATACCTGCTGTAGGATGGCATAGCCGATGACCACATCTCCTTCTGGTACATCCCAGGAGACTGTGGCAGAGTTTGCCTTCAGCTGCGTCACAGTCACGTTGACAGGGGACGGTGGCCTGTCTGGGTGAGCCAGGCATGGACCGTGGTGAGACATAGGAAAAAGGCAAAAGAAGGTGTCTCAGAACAGGCACTCAGCCCTGCACATCACCACGGGGCCTCTCCAACACCTGCCAATGGCAGCATGTTGGCTAGGGCTACAGGGAGCACCTTCCCTGGTGAACCTGTCCCCAGGAGATGACTGGCACAGCAGGTGGGGGAGCCTGAGCCCTGCCAGCAGCAGCACATGCACAGCACAGTGCTTCCTGGGCTGGCAGGCAGCTGCCCACTCTGTGCATGAGGAGTGTGCAGGTGCACAGCTCTGGGCTGTCCTGTGGATGGGCATGCCACAAATGCCTGGCACACCACCCAGAACTGCGTAGGAAGCAGCGCAGACACAGTGATGATATATTGATTGTGACAGAAAAATGGGGCACCTTGGAATAGACACACACTCAGTATGGGCATCTCCTCTGCCTGGAACTACTCCTTGCTCCAGGGCATGGGAGAGGGCCAATGCCAAAGGCAGAGATGGCTCTCCCAGTAATGCCTGGAAAATAGATCTCCTCAACAACATTAAGAGTGAATATATAAGCAAACCTTCACTTGAAAGCTTTCAGGTACACAATATGGTGATAATCATATCTGGTATAGCAATGCTACAATTTTTATAAGGTTAGTCGATTAGTATACTTATCATATACTGTCCAATTAAAAGGTAAGTTGGTTAGGTAGTAATTTCTGAGATCCTGCCCCACTGGAAGCAGTTCAGAAGTTTCTCTTGCCCCACTTTTGTTATGCCTGGTCCAGATTCTGGTTGGAAAACATAACGTCCTTGTAGCTGTCTCTCTTCTTGGAATAAGACTAAACAGTATTTTTAGGAATGTATTTATAAGATTAACTTATTGTTCTTAAATGTGTGGAAGAAAGATAGGAAAAGTACTAGAAGCTACAACCATGCATTAACAATCTACATAGCCACAAATACATGAAAAATATAAAAACCCAATAATCTTAGGCATCACCAGCAGTGCAGTGCCGTTGGCTGCAAAGCTGGCAGCAATGCTTGGCCATTGCTGCTCTATGGCAAGCCAACCTGACTGACCCATGGTCTGCACCATTGCCACTTTGAGATTTCACAGCACTGAGAGCACAACTGGATCCCACACAGTCCTGCACAAAAAGCCAAATTTTGTCTGGAAGTTAGACACAGGAGCACACGAAAGACATTGAAGCTGCTGTTTGTGAGTTCCCACTCCCCACACATAAGTCAGTCTACAAGCTGCCTGTGTAGCAGCTAGGGCTACAGGGTCAGTGCTGTGATTTATACAGAAAAAGAGTTCCAGAGGGCACCTGAGAACAAGAGAAAGGACAACTGTGATACCAGCAACAACCCTGCAAAAAAGGCAATTTTTGCAGGCCAGCTCTTTAAGTGCATTCATTCACATCTGACTATACCCAGCTTCAGATCAAAACAGAGGAAGGCTGTGGTTCCCACTCTGAGAAATTCAGGGTTGTGGTCTGCCAGGGGCAATTAAAACAGAGAGGAGAGCCCAGAAAACATGTTCTAAGAGAGACCCAGGGACTGAGTGTGTCTCCAGAAGTTTGACACACCACCAGAAGAGAGGGCTGCCAGAGACAAGGACATCACAGGGTTCTGATTTTCTCCTTCAGAAAAGGAGCCTGGAAAACTGGAAAGGATTCAAAGATAAACTCAAACATTCTTTATCCCACAAAGAGTATGTCTGTGTAGAGTTTTGCCCATGGGGATCTGCTTCATCACTAACCTATGGGAGGGAGGGAGGGAATCCCTACGCCTTGTCTGCATGCACGCCCTGCTTGCCTAGGAGCCAACAGCAGAACAGGCCGAACAAAGCTGCACACCCAGCCTTGTCCATTGCCTGGGTATATGTACTCTGTCAGCACAGGAGCTGAGTGTCTTGTAGATTAAACTATGGAATCATTGTGGCTGGAGAAGACCTCCAAGATCATCAACTCCAACCCGTGCCCATTATACCATGTTGCAAAGTATCACGTCCAGTCATTTCTTGAACACTTCCAGGGGTGATGAATCCACCACTGTCCTGAGCAGCCTGTCCAATGCTTAACCACTCTTTCAGTGAAGGAATTGCTCCCAATATCCAACCTGAACTTGCCCTGACACAGCTTGAGGCCATTTCCCCTTGTCCTGTCCCTGTTCCCTGGCAGCACAGCCTGACTGCACCCCCTGCCTCCACCATCCTCTCAAGGAGTTGCAGAGAGTGAGAAGGTCCCCCCTTGAGCCTCCTTTTATCCAGTTTGAATTCCCCCAGCTCCCTCTGCCACCCACAAGTCTTGTGCTTCAGTCCCTTCCCCAGATCTCTTCCCTTCCCTGGAGACACTCCAGCCCCTCAATGTCTTTCCTGCTGTGAGTGGCCAGGATTTGAGGTGCCTCAGCAGTGTCCAGCACAGGGGGAAAATCACTGCCCTCCTCCTGCTGCTACACTATTGCTGACACAAGCCAGGATACTCTTAGCTTTCTTGGCCAGATCATGTTGAACTGCTGTTACCCCCAGGTTTTTCCCCACATTTTCCATCATTGTCTGGTTTTTGGCCCCAGCCATGGCTGGGGTCAGGTCAGCTGCTCAGCCCACAGCCGAGCTCAGGCAGCACCCTGTCAGCCAGCAAACAACTGCCCCCTGCCTGGGCTTTCCCAGACACAGGCTTTTCCAAGGGTGGCTGTATGGTGGGCTGCACATTTCTGCTTCTCTTCAAGCATAATAACACTTGTCCTAGGTTGCCACTAGTTAGATTGCTAGCTAGGTTTGTGCTAGCCGACATAATGGGGTCAGAACAGCCCAAGAATCCAGAAGTGGAGATTGGTCCAAGAGCTGATTTGATCTGCACCAGCCAGTAGGTGCCCAAACCACTCTTGGGCATGGCTTGGAAGCTAGGATAAGCCAGAAAACCACTCCTCACAAGTAGCACTGATGTGCCTCCCTCTTTGCAACTCGTGAGTTTAATACCATAGATATGACCAGACCCTGCCAGCTGGCCTCGGGACAAGAACAGGACATGGTGCTTCACAGGATACATCCACAGTAATGAATTAGGTGAGGTTTTTTTACATCTAACAGAATTTTAGAAGTCATGAATATGCATGATGGGGGCAGTTTGACTACCAACCTCTAAGCGTACGTGAGGAAATTAAAGTTGGGGTCTGACATCTCTGCGACACAGAAGTTTGTGCATGGAGTTTGTAGCAGCCGTCCAGCCCTGCTCAAGAATTTTCTAGGCTTCTGCGAGGCACCCAGCCTGTCCCAGCTGAGGTTTTCAGGCTGGGGCTGCTGAGACACTGCCCTGGGACTGAGTCACTTGATGATTTGAGAACAAAAGCACTGCACCAATTCACAAGCCGTGCTGCTGGGTGCACACAGGTCTGACAAGTGCTCCAGCTGTATTTAGCCAGAGCTTGCACAGGCCCTGTGCAGGGACTGTCACTCACCGGCAGCAGAAGAGTGAGAGGTCATGGGGGCATAGCGGAGCCACAACACACGTGGTGGCTTGTCAGTGCACCATGGCCACGCACCCTGAGCACAAATGGTGCACACTCCAGGCCAGCAGCCCTGGACCTGTGTGACAGGAGACCTGGTGTGCAGGCCACACTTCTGCATTACAACAACCAGTGTGCCTTGATCAGTTTGATGCTGAATGAACTGCAGAAAATACACTTCTGAGCACACGGGATTTGCATGCCCATCAGGAAGAGACAAGAAGCCTCAGAAGTCAAAACATGGGAAGTTCACCCTAGATACACAGAGCAATGTCTAATCCAAATCACCTCTGCTCTGGAAAAAGGCTGGGAGAACTGAGGTTTTTCACCCTGGAGAGAACACTCTGGTAAGATATTGGAGCCCCTTCCAGTGCCTAAAGGGGTTCCAAGAGAACTGGAGAGGGACTTTGGACAAAGTGACAGGACAAGAGAGGGATGGCTTTTCAGTGACAGAGGCCAGGGTTAGATGGGATATTGGAAAGAAATTGTTCCCTGTGAGGGTGGTGAGGTCCTAGCACGGGTTGTCCAGAGAAGCTGTGGCTGCCTCTGGATCCCTGAAAGTGCTCAAGGCCAGGCTGGATGGGGCTTGCAGCACCTCAGTGTAGTGGAAGGTGTCATTGCCCATACCAAGGGGGTGGAATGAGATGAACTTTAAGGTCCCTTCCAAACCACATCATTCCAGGATTCTATGAAATTCAAGATGAGCGCTCCAAGTTGTTACAAGACATCCAAAGGACAAAGCTTTGTGTATAATCCCCACACTGCATCTAATACTGTTCAGCCTGTTCTGCAGCTGAGATGAGAGCAGCTTTGTGCCAAAGCTGTTGCCACAAAGGTCTGTGAATACAAGGGCTCCAAAAAGCATGCTCTCTGAAGCCAACACATTCTGGCTATAAAGTCAGGATGCTGCTGGGCTCTCTGGGAAAAGTGTGCCACTGTTTAGCTCAATGCATTAACTGCTAATAATTCTACATCACTTATAAATGATCCAGCTTCACTTTTTATTAAAGCCATATTACAAAAGAGGGACCCCCACAGAAAGCACAGTAACTAATTTAGGGCCTGGCACAGGTTCTGTGCTGTCTGTACAGCAGCATGCTCCTTTTGGGCCTGATTAAGGGGTGGGAAGAGCTGGGCTGTGTACAGGAGCTAGCAGCACTGCAGCCTATGGCTGGACACCGGGAGGGATGGCCAGTGGGCAGCTGAAGGAATGGCCAGAGGGCAATGGGAGGGATGACTGGTGAGCAGTAGGAGGGATGGGTGGTGGTCAGTGGGAGGGATAGCTAGTGGGCAGCTGGACATGGGACCAGATATGCCACATATCCCAGCTCCATGGGTCAGCAAAGGGGCTGGACAGATACCCTTTGCGAGGGATGCTGGCACATGTGATGCTGCAGAGGGATGAGGGACGGGGCACGCCTCCACCGCTGCCCTCACCATCCTGCTGTGATCCGGGGAGTGGGGTCACCCCTGCCCCCCGGCCCATGTCCTTGGGGCTGCTGCTCAAGGGCACACAGATGTTTGCCCAACTTACTGCTGCAGCAGGGAGTAAGCACCAGACTGAACATCTAAAAATAAGTGGCCCCTTTTTAACACCCCTGACTGCATCTCTTCCTGAATCCATCAGTACGTGTTTTGCAACACGGCAGAATGTAGCAGAACTCGCAATTCGATTTGATATCGCAGTGACCTGTCGAGGTGAAACACACAGGAGGAAGCAGCTGCTGACACAGAGCCACCCCGGCCAGTAAAAGGACACAAGGACAGCGGTACCTCGGGCGCACCGAGCTCGATGTTCCAGCAAAACCGGCAGGAAGGGACAGGATCCCCGTCACCCGGCCGGCCGCAGCCCGCCGCAGCCCTGAGTGTCCGTGCCCGGGGCAGGAGCTCCCTCGGGCAGAGCGCCCATTCCCACCCACCGGGAGCCCCTGGGAGCCCCGGGGAGGGGACGAAGGCACAGGGGACTCGGAGGCCGCGGAGCCCCGGGGGTGCCCGAGGAGTCCTCGGGGATCGCGGCAAAGGCCACGCCGGGAATGCAGTGAGGCCGGCGGGGTGTCTGCGGGGACCGCAGCCCCCGGCAGGGACGGGCGCCCGGCAGGGTGTCCCCGCCCCGCGGGACGCGCAGCCCCGGTGCCCTCCCGGCCCGGCCGCACTTACTGGCTCGCACGAAACACAGGTCGCAGCCGAAGAGCACCAGGACCGGGCTGATCATCGCCGAGACTCGGGCCATGGCGGCGGGGGCTGCGGCCCGGCCGGGCGGCGGCCCTGGCACCGGCCCGGCTCCCTGCACCGCGGGACGGAGCGGGCGACACCGCCGGTACCGCCCCCACCCCGTTAGCGGAGCCCGGGAACCGCCAGCGCCGCTGCCGGTGCCGTTCTCCGGTAACCCCCAACGCCCCGCCGCAGGTTGCACCCCCGGCAGCCCCGAACGTCCGCTCTCCCCGTGCTGCACAGCCAGCAGTCCCCAGTTGCAGCTCGTTCCGTGCTGTGCCGCCGGTAACCCCCAGCACGGGAGGCTCCACACGCGGGCACACAACAGCCGTGTCCTGAGCCGTGGGCCGCCGGCACCGTGGGGCAGCGAGCAGCACCGGTGAAGCGACTGCTGGTCACCGACAGATGCCGACATTCGGGCTGGTGCCCCCGGCACACCCCCGCAGCTCCTCTGCACCTGGGGGTGCTCTGACCCTCCGGGATGCTCCTCCACGTGTGCCTGAAGACACAGGCATGGGGTCTGCCCCATCCCCAGGAAAGGCAGCACTGGGTGTGCCTAATGAAGCCGTAGAGAAATAAGGAAATGAACCCAAATCATCCTCTATTAGCTTGCAGTGGTCCATTAGCCTACTACTTTCTGTGAGCAATGCAGACTGGAAGGAGGAGTCAAGCCAAGATGGAATCTATGGTTCCAAGGGCCGTTAAGGTGCCTCAGCCCAGCTGTGGTTTTGGGCAGACTTGGGAAGTGCTGAGGCTCCTCTCTGTCCAGCTGATGTCCTCAGCTGCAGCCTATGTTGTCCTGCTGTGTAGCATAGCTGGACCCCAATGTCAGCTTAGACCATGCCCTGGATGAGATCAGCCCACAGCAGAAATACATCCGTGCGGGCATGTGTGCAGACATGGGCACAGACATCCATAGTTCAGTGTCCTAAAAGTCTTTTCCTGGTCACTTGAAAAGGCCTTTCCTAGTTACAGGAAAATTGCTCTGTGCTTTGGGGAGAGCTGTGGAAGACCAGGGTGGTGATGTTGCCACATGAAGGATTTAATCTGCATTGCCTGTGTGCAAAAGGCAAGTTCCAGCTAAGTGAAAACTGAAGCTTGTCAGAATTTATGTTAACTCTGCAGCTGCATGGCAGGTGAGGTGATCAAAATGGTCCCATCTGTGTTGTTCAATGCTGCTTTTCAGATGCTCTTGGCAGATCAGGACTGCCTCTTTCCTGTGCTGAGCTTCATTGCTGCTGCAGTCCACAGTGGTGAGGAGGAGGGTGAGCCTGATACTGCTTTCCCAGCAGAGTCCTGTTTCAAAGCTCCTTCTCCCTCTGCATTATGGGGAAAGAACTTCAGGAAAGCCAAGGGTAGAGCTGGCAACTGTAAAACTGTGACAGCACGTGGTTTTACAGGAACAGTTTGCCAGTTATGTCTTCTCTGCAAGGTCTTTTCTCACTTGGTTGCTGTGAGAAGCACTTGGTTATTGCAGAGCTAGCTGTTGGTGTTAATGTTGTCTGCTTCATAGCCTGTCTTTGCCACCAGGCAAGGATCCCTGGCTTGCCCAGCACTGCTCTGGCCTGCACAGGAGTGCTCAGACGTGTTATTTGAAAAGCTCAGTGCTGTCAGTGTTAGGTATCAGTGAGCAATGCCATTTTTTTGATAGCAGAAACAGGTGGCCGTTAGCACTGTGGGACAGTTTATTTTGCATCCTTCCCCCAAACTACTTAGAAGTGGTTCAGGCTCTATGTCCTTTCCCTGTGCTCCAGGGTGCAGCCCTATTGCTTGTGCAGGGTGAGAATTATGCTGTGATTGGGGAATTTTGTGTCTGATCACCCCAGACATCACTGTTGGCTAGCTGGCATTCCCAGGCTTCACACACCTTCCAGATCAGTGCTGGACATAGAAAAGGACATGCTGTGCCACTTAGGACAATCCTGGGAATTCAGTGACTGTGCACAGGCTGCATGGTGTGCTTTGGGAGCAGGTGATGGCATTTGCATTTCTGGGTTCAGTCTATAAATAATAAATACTGAGAGTGCAAATTCTCTACACACATTTAATTATCATTTGAGTATTTGGGATTTTGGCCAGGCAAAATTCAATTTGCAATCACAAATCAGGAACTAATGCATGTAAATTGTATTATATGCCTCGTAGTGCCTTGTACTTAGAATTCAGTGGGGAAATCCAGCAACAGCCTCGAGATCCCAGCCTCAGCTCTACAGCCTGGCCTGCAGGCTCCGAAGTCCCAGCCTGCCCCTAGCAAATACGAAGTTCTGGGGGTGGTGCTGGCAGCAAGAGAATCTCCTGCCCATGATGCAGGAGCCTCCTGTACCTGCATCACATCGTCCTGCTGTCACCTTCCTCTGCCCACCAGAGGAATACACCAGCAAGGACTCCCAGCACATCAGGAATTCACCTCTGCAACTGGGAAAGGATTGGATTGATTCTGCCTGTGCAGAATCTGCCCCATACTTTGTAGTGTATAAATGCTATTGCTTAAATGAAATCCACAAAGGATGCATGGGTTTTGTGTCCTTAATCTAAGATTTAGTTAGCTGCTAACTGGTGTGAGGTGAGCATTCACAGATTTATGAAAGCACGACATGACCTGCAGTAGCTGGGTCCTGATCTGGGGTCCTGGAGCTCTGTGACTGTTCCCTGCCTGGGACACAACACTCCTGCAATTCTTTCCCCCATATTCTGGCTGCTCTTTTTTCCTGCTCCAGGGCCTCCCATGGCCAGTTGTGACATAGCTGTGCCTATGGAAGCTGCTGGCAACTGCAGCTGTGACTCAGACGGCCTTTTCCTGCTGCATTGCCCCTCAAACAGTGGCTGCCTGGCCTAGAGGAGGGCTGGGCAGGGTGTGAATGCCAGACGAGCCCCTGCACACCCAGACCCTGTCTCCCAACCAGCCCCATGCCTGCCCACCTTGTCTTCTCTCCAGGGCTGCCTGGCTGCTGCTCCACATTAGCCTCTCCATGTTCACTGAAAGGAAGTGTCCAGAGTTGCTGTGAAGGCTCATTCCCAACCACTTCGTCATGTCTGTGTGCTGGCTGCTGTACCCTCCATTTCTCTCCCATGGAAGTGGGAATGAACACACTGATTCCCTGTGAGGATAATAATAATGGAGGGCAAAGGTACAGCAAACCAGACATTTTCTATAAAGCTGCTGCAGGGAAGTGCCCTATTGTCCTCAGCCACAGAACAGGATCAGACCTGTCACCAGTCTGTGGATATCAGCACTTCATCAGCACTTCATGAACTTTATTAAATGTGGAAAGTCAATCTGCTAATCATTAATACACACTAATAATTAATAACTCCTGATCCTCCTTTTGTCTTTGTTTATATATTTTGTGATGGCATCTTTTTACCATCTGCTGCATAATTGGATTTGGGGAATTCAGTACTGCCCAAGAACAGCATTTATACTTTCTATTGCCACAGAATATTGTGAAGTCAAGAGTTTTGCTGTGTAATTATGTGCATTGTGAAAAGTAATTTATTCTGTTTCATTAAGACCACATGCCCAATTACTTCTTCTGGTGCTTCCTAGCTTCTATTGTAAGAAACAAGTAATAACAGTTTGCTGTCTATCTGCACTGCACCATCTGCAACACAGCAGACCCTGGTCATCTTTTACAACTGATAATTTCTTCTTTACCCTTTTAATATGGGACAACTAGACAGCATATGATGTTTGAGATGTGAGTTTCCTGTGTGCCAATATATTCATAATAGTGTTATCACCCAGCCCTTTCCCAGATCATTTACAGCACGTGAAGCCACCAAAGCCAAGAGCCTGGTGAAGCTGAAAAGTGATCTGACAAGTCTATCAACAGCAAAAGCATTCAGCAGTGTCATGGTCAGTGAACACACAACTGATCAAAGTTGATGAGCAGCTCTACAAAGCCCACCCCTGGGAAAGAACTTTATTTGTTATTGCTCAGATAAAAGCACAAAGCACTGAACGTGAGGCACTTAACCCTCTTCATCAAGAGGATGGAGCACCGGGCAAGCGCTGCAGCCCAAGGCAAAGGCTGCTCTGCAGTGAGCAGCTGCCATACAAAAGGCGGCGTTGTGGCCCTCTGCAATGGACACACAGCCTGCAAGGACCTGCTCTGGCTCTGTGCCTGATTCCCTGTCGCTTAGTACTGCTGATGGAGAAGGAAGACTTGCACACCAGATGATGAACAAGTCTCAAAAGTTTATTGGATAGGCACACACATTTATAGCAGTGTTAATAAGGCTAATGCATATTGCAAAAATTGAGCTCATTATTGGTTAGTCATTTATTAGTTTACATTCTTGTGTTCACCTTGTTATGGTTTCTTCTATCCTTCCTTCATTCTTGCTAGCTAACGAACCTCTCCCACAACCTCAAGTTTCGGCAAGGGCACAGTGACCTTGCCGCTTTTATCTTCGTCTCCCTCTTGCTTCCAGCATGATCTTTGTTAGCTAGCTAACTATCTACAAAATCCTCTACATACTGCAGTCTCCTCTGGCCTCAGTATACAGTTAGGGGCTTGGGCTATAGGGAGGGAGAGAACTCAGCTGGCACTGCCTGGAAAGCTCACTGGGCTGACCCTGGCTGGATACCAGGTGCCCATCAAAGCTGCCCCATCACTCTCCCCTCATCTGGGCAGGGAAGAGAAAGTATAATGATACACTCATCCATTGGGATAAGGACAGGGAGAGCTTACTCACCAGTTACTGTCATGGGCAAAACAGACTCAGTTTGGGGAAATTACTTTAATTTATTACCAATCAAGTCAAAGTAGGACAACGAGAAATAAAACCAAATTGTAAAACCATCTGCTCACCAATCCTCCTGTCTTCCCCAGCTTAGCTTCACTCCCCAGACCTCTCCCTCCTCCCCCTCAGCAGTGCAGTGGGACAGGGAATGGGATCAATTTATCACAGCGTGTCTCTGCCACTGCTTCCTTCTCAGGGAGAGGGTCCTCACACTCTTCCTCTGCTCTCACATGGGCTCCTCCACGGGCTGCAGGTGGGTCTCTGCTCTCCGATGGACCCTGGTGGCTGCAGGTGGGTCTCTGCTCCTGACTGGATCTTTTTGGGCTGTGGGTGGGTCCCTGCTA